AATTTTCAAGAGCAGGTTGACAGTAGGCCTGTGCAAGTCAGCAGCGATTTGACCCGGCTTCGGATCCGGCTGCTTCAGATGGCCATGATCTGATCCGGAGCTCCAGATCGGTTTGCCATTTCGATCTGGCCAAAGTGGCTCTGAAGCTTTGGAGCCACTTCGGAGATCCGGCTATAGGTTATAATGGGGGATGAATGAAAAAATCTATAACTTTGTTATTTTAGCTCCGATTTAGGTGCAACTTGCAGGGGTGGTAGCCTCTGCTGAGAACATAAAGCCTGCCAAGCTTCAAGAAGGTTGGTATAGGGGTTTGGGGGGCAACTGCACCCCAAATTCTTGAAAGCAAAACTCCTGTCACGTCTATGTGTTACATCACAGTGGGCTAAAAACTGCAGGAGTGGTAGCCCCTGGTGAGGCCACAAAGCCTGCCAAGTTTCAAGAAGATCGGTGCAGGGGTTTGGGGGAAACTGGACCCCAAGGTGCTGACAGCAAGGGCTAAAGCCCTTGACTTCAGAAGGGCCAACTTCAATGAGCTTAGGAGACTAGTGGGGGAGGCACTAAGGGCCCAGAAGGTAGAGGAGATGGCAGCCCATGAGGGATGGTCGTACCTTAAGGGGGCGATCCTCCAGGCCCAAAGGATAACAGTCCCTGAGAGAAGCAAGGGGGGAAGAGTGCTCAGAGACCCCCTTGGCTCAGCAAGGGCATTCAGCAATGCCTGAGGACTAAAAGGGAGGCGTACAACCAGTGGAAGGGAGGAACTATCACCAAGGAGGAGTACTCCTCTCCGGCCCGGGAGTGTAGGAGGGCTATTAGGAAGGCCAAGGCAGAGATGGAACTCAGGCTAGCGTCCAGGATTAAGGACAACAAAAAGTCCTTTTTCATGTACATTGGGAGCAAAAAGAGGGCACCAGGCAATGTAGGGCCCCTGCAAGACACAAACGGTAATCTGGTGGCCATGCCAGACAAGAAAGCTGATATTTTTAACAGTTTCTTTGCCTCTGTTTTCCTGAACAGGGACCGGGATATCCCACCTACCAGAGGTAGGGACAATCTTGAGGATAGCTCTATCAAGCCTTTAGTCAGTGCAGATGTAGTTCAGGATCTTCTGGAAGGGCTAGACATTTTTAAATCTGCAGGTCCAGATGCCCTCCACCCAAGGGTGTTGAGGGAGTTGGCAGGGGTCATCGTGGAGCCTTTGGCCCGGCTGTATGAGCATTCGTGGTCATCTGGCCAGGTGCCGGGGGATTGGAAACTGGCTAATGTGGTCCCTATTTTTAAGAAGGGGAG